TTCATTAAACCGCAGAAGTTATCTCACGGTGCAATTTCTTGAAACAGGAAAAATTAGAATGACGCACGCAACATCCACTTTCACAATTTTCTTCTCGAGAGTGAGCGAAGTTCTGTAAAAGGGTTAATGTAATTATGGTTGTTACTTTATTTCAGCAATTGGAATCCAATCATTATTTTTAATCGAAAATACTCCTGCTTTCTTAAAAGTGACGTTCTCGGCTTTTTACGCTTGAAATTTTATGACCTCCCCTGTGCTTCCGTGTGATTACAAGTTGTTTTTGTGGATTAAAATCAAACTTTGTTGAAAACCTTGTTTTTTAAAAAATGGAGCAAAACCTGTAAAACATTTTCTTCAGAAGGATGTCAATACACGATATCAATTAATTCATGATTCCCTAAGTCTCCATTTCACCTAATACAGTTTTGCTAAGCCACTCTATAGCTATGTATATACGTATGCATGATATTTTAAACACTCGTAGGTACAATTCAAATGAAATATTGTGCCTCTCGAATTTGTATTTCGTGTCTCGTTAGTCACCATATTTGACAACGTACCATTGTATGGTGCTGATGTTTCACGGAACCAGCAATGTCAAAACATACTTAATTTGATGCCCTTAACATCAATACCGTCTGTCTCCACAGTCCTTACGAAGTGTCGGAGACGGAATGACCAGTAGCAAATCGCGTGAACCTAATCGATTCCTGGCTCCTCGAATAGGAAAAATTCCGACCCGAAAGCGACAGCGTTCCATTTCCTTTCCGACGGAACTTCAGTTCTTTCATCATTTCGACATATCGACCTCGCTCTCAAGAGCAGGGTGGCGTTGTTTGCATAGTTGCCTTGTTGCCATAATGTCCTCGCCGCCTCGAGATAATATCGACAGCTCGAGGCGGTCTGTCATTGTTATGTTGATTTGCTCCGCTGTCGTGCGGAACGCCTGCTATTCTTTGCGTCGGTCACTCCCCCCTCGCCCCCCCCCCCCGAAAAGGGCTTCAAAAAGCATAAAGTGAAGTGGCATTATTGAGAACGGTGTTTGCTTCGTGTACTGTCGCTTTGTGAATGTTTCGTGCGGGTTTCGAAACGAGTACAAAAGGGCAGAAAAGTGTATAGGTTCTTGTGTCGTGTTCATCCGTGAGTAGGGTGTAATCCATTTTACTGGCATGTTAACTGTCGCAGGAGGAATAAGAATTAAAAATGTAGACGGGTTGCTGGTCAGTTTTGAATGACATTGATGGTAATAATTATCCTAGGGTCTTTACTGATAATTAATCTGTACGTAGAAACAAACGTGAAAGTAAGCAATTTATCCATTCCTTTGCTCTGTTTTATAGAGTTCTTTATCACTCGCCGCCTCACTTTTTATCATTAGTCAAAAATGTTTTTGAATGCACCTTAAACACTTATTGAACACCGGTGCATGATTGACGCTATAATGCTTATACGAAATTCTTCAATTATTGTTTACTTTTTCGACAAAAAATTAAGATTCCAAAATTAAAATTTTAAAATGTAATTGAATAATCAGCATTTTGAATTATGTTTTGTATTACTTCGTTCTTCCCACCAGAAATCAAATAGTGTTGGAAAATACGTAACTAGCCCCCTACATTCTGGATATTCTAATAGTAAGCTTGATATATATAAAGCCCAGTATTTTCGTGGGAGATGCACTCTTAAAGTTTGTGTTAGATCGAGCTGTTTTCTTAGATGGAAGAAATTCTTCGTGTCTTCCACACTTCTTTTCGTTGGTTAAAAAAGCTATTGGATTGAAAGGCTTTGTCTTCCCATATTGGACTTCTACATCTTAAGCGCTTGGATATTATAGAAAAATCTTATTAGTAATAATAAATTGCTGAATTAGTCGATATTGTCCAATTTTTGGAAGAAAAGGCCACATCAGATGAATTAATTAAAATATTTTGTAAATATATTTTTCTCTTTCTTAATACCTAATCCTACGAGTAAGCAGATTTAAATTCAGATATATACCACAAATAAAAATTGTATAACTCGGGTAGATGAATAATTTAATCGTACCTCATACAATTCCACATGATCATTTTGCTCTGGATAGATAGGGGAAGGGAAGGGGGCAGGAAAGATCGCGCCCAATTTATGCCCCGTTCAATTAGGATACAGCTGCAATTGCTCAGGTAAACTATCAAAGGAAACCGGCATTGAGAATTCTACTCTCGACGGTGCTCGGATTCGACTCCGAGCTGTTTAGTCTACCACCGTTTGCACTTGACCCTAAGACTTCCTGGTTTACGAAACTTCAGTTGAAAACTAGTTTAAGTGAATAAGATTTTTTTTTCATTTTCGGTTCAAAGTCTTTTTAGAAGATTAAAGAATAATGCTAATGCAAAGTAACACAGTTCTAAAGCCATTTTAAGTTCCTAGTTCGCTCCAGAGCGAGGCGACGAAATTCTATTTTCTTTTGTTTTATTTACTTTCTTCAGTTCACAGCAGTTTCTCAGAGTCTTTATATTTCCGCGGAAGGGCAAGGTCTGCATGTGACATAATTTAATTAGTTCTCTTTTTTTTCGTAATTTGTCGTTTCTGTGGTTATGCATACTTAAGGAACAAGCGTTGAATATCTGTTTGCATTTAGTTCGCACCCGACTCCGCGTTTGTTTGAGGCGGTCCGCGGAATCAACGCGCGTGTGCGAGTCGGCTCAGCTACTGCTGCAGTTTGCGAGGAGTCCTTTGTTGTAAAAACTCGCAGTTTCCCTTTTGTAATCGCACTTGTTTCTCGTGGTTTCAAACTTTTTCTTTCCTCGGTTTCTGTGTTTTCAAAAGCAGTGCAAACGATGGTATGTTCATAATGAGCCAGCTGCTTTAAAGCGCGGGTTATTTCTTTTGCGGTGTTGGCGAATTCGACTTGAAATGCGTATCAAAAACGTTTTTAAATGTATGCGTATATCTTTGTTATGTTGGATGTGATGAATGTATGCATTTGAGTTTTATGTACTACGCTAATAAAATGTTGAGTAAGATTCACTTCTTCTTGTGAATATCTTTCTGTACTGTTATGTTTAGGTAACATTTTACATCTTTTCATCATTTCATTTCGCCAAAGCTTTTTTTCTAGATCAGAAAACATTGTTTAACACGGGGGTACATACGTAGGTATTATTATTATTATTAATAATATAATAATAATTATTATATAAAATACTTTGATAAAGAAATGATAATGAAATACTAAGGGATAACTTATTTATTTTAGAAAATATATTTATGAAGTCACAATAAGGATGACCTACACATTGCTATTAAGTGCAATGTCTCAAATTCGCAATGTTTTAAGTGCTCAGCAACTATCATTTCTTTTTAATGGGTAGTAACACACTGCTTGACCACTCTTTGGCGCGTTTCAAATAGACCCAGTTTGATTAAATTTCTTACGGAACCTGAAAATTGACAGTCTGTTTGGTGGAGGTGTGTTGAGTTCTTCTTTCCATCGAATCTATTCAGCATTCTGTGTCTTTTAGTATTGTTTAATTATCTACTTCCATTTGTCAATGCTTAAATTACAATCTGAATATGTGAAAGAATAAAAAAAACTATCTTGGAACATAAAAATATTGTATACATAAAAATGTAATAGGTAATAATATCTACTTATGAACCCCCGTATATTTTGTTGTTCTTGAAAATGCTACGGTCATCTTTATTCATTCATACGTTTATAGAAATCTTATTGTATAGCGTGCACTTAACGGGTCACTGACCGTGTTTACTACATAACTTTTCGTCGCCTACCAGCAGATTCCTTCGCTCGCACGTCCTATTGTCTTCAATTTCTCCCCTCGTTTTGTTCCCTGTTGTCGCGCGTTCTCACTCCTGAGTTGTATTCGTCCCTCATTGTTCTCGCCGTTCGAGTTTTTTAGCAGCGTCGTCAACAGGGCCTCGCAGAAGATGAAGTCGGGGGTGCCCAAACCCTGCCCGTGTGAACTGAAACGACCTTCCTGAAATTTCCGTAGAATTATTTAGAGATTCATTGATGTCACTGATTTGTATGATTATACAATTTATTTGATCTACTTCAATCAAGTTATCACTGAAAATGATTAAATCAAGCTCTAGGTAAATTGTAGAATTATAGTGTACGCCTTTCTTTGTTCATTTTCTTTTCTTCTTTTCATTTCTTCATTCTTTCCGTTTAGTGTTCATTACTAATAGAATAGAAATAACGAAATGAGAAAGCTCGAAAAGTAAATATAAAAGAAATAAAGAAAATGTTAGAAAATATCCCACAGATAAAGCAAATTTATTGAATAACTACCTTGAAATGTGATACGTGTTTAGAGTTAATATTTTTGTATTAATTAGATGCTGTTGTTCATCCTGATTCGTCAAAACCTAACATTTGAATTATGTGTTTTGTAATATAGTTATTTGCATACTAGGAAAAGTGTAGTCACATATATATTGTGCGTGCACCATTTTTACTTATCTCGCAATTAACTTGTTAAACTGAAACTTGAAAATTACTGTTACTTTTCCTATTAGTCGTGAGAAATTACGTAATTTTACTCATGAGATGTAACGTAAATAGCACTCGTTAAAACCTCGTATTTCTTAATTTTGGAAAGTATTTGTTTAAAACAATTTTTTTATCTGTCTTTCTCAAACCCATACATTATTTTCACTGTAATTTATGTTAGTTTTGTAAATGTTATTTTATTTTTAGTAATTAAAGAAAAAGCTTTCGCCGTCGGCTTGTTTAGTGTATGAACAAATTATATTCCCTGGACATGTATGGGCACCCCTGAGTAAAGCAGAAACTGGCGTTTTCATTTCATTGATATTTCGCCCCAGCGGTGTCCCGCCTCGGCGTTGTTTCGACGCGTCTCCGCCAGGTAGCAGCAGCTGCAGCAGCATCGGCTCCATTCCGGACTTCACCGCCGCCGGCTGGGCACCACTCGAAGCGAAACTCGGCCAACTGCAGACGCCTGCATGGGGGATGGTGATGGTTGGTTGTGGGAATGGTGGTGGTGGTGACGGTGGCTTTCTCTCTTGGTGGCGGAAAAGGAAAAAATGCGCCGGAAGTAGAAGTAAAAGAGTTTTTCTTGTCTGTTCCAGTTTTCCCCAATGCCCCGACAGCGCCTGGGATGCCTTGCCAGGGCGAAGATCGTAAGTACGGGGAGGACGACGTGGAAGGTGACGGAAGGCACGCTTTGCCCGGGGGCGAATCCAGAACTTGCGTACAGGAACACACCTCGGAGGAATTGCAATGAAACTCGTTTCGAAACCGCCTTTGGAGTCGTAGAAAATGTGAATAATGAGTGTGGAAACACAAAGACAATCCTGACAATAATATGAGTCGGATTTGACAAAATTATTTGCAATGGTCAGAGCTATAGAAATTTGCCATTTTATTAATATATGCTGTATTCACTTACGTGAAAATTGTCGGGGTAACCTTTACGAGAAATTCACGGAGAAAAAATCTAATTAGTATTAGTCAAGTAATATGTTACATAATTGTTGCTTTTTTTCCTGTAAAGTTTAGAAAATGTTTCAGTGTAACTTAACTATCCTCTTTTTTCTTTTGTTCTTTTAAAGTATATTTTGTAAGTTTCATTAGCTATTTCTAGATTTTGTGTTGGGTAATTAACTACCATGTTGTAGGTTGGGATTCAAATATCACATTGCGCATTTGTTGCAAAGTGACGCACGATTTTCTAGTGTAACACTACTTATCAACGCACGTTATATAATAATAAGTAATAGCTAATCACTTTTAGTTGTTAAGGAAACGAAGGGCCTAAAAAATCATATTGTCATTCACATTCTTCGAATTTCTTTCCAACAGGGTTTTTATTTAAATAGTATCAATGCAATATGTTTCCTGACAATGTTTCAAATGAAACGCATTTTGGATATCTACTTTTAAATATTCGTCTTTGTGATTCACTGATTACGTAGTTGCTTTGTAAATGTGAAAAAAATGTAATGTGATCAGACCCAGTGGTGGAACTGTTCTCTTTCTGGATTCGCCGCTGGTAGTTGCCTTGTCAACCTTTACGGTCCTCCTCTCGTCCCGCCCACTGCCTCGCTCTTTCTCCATCTCTCTATCTCTCTCTTTCTCTCTCTCCGCTCTTTCTCTCACCACTCTCTCTTTCTTTCTCCACTCTCTATTTTCTCCGCCTCTCTCTTCTTGTGGCTTTTCGACACCTTTCTCCTTCAGCTCCTTTCGAACATTCTCGTCATTTTGTTTTCTCCAACACAAAAATTTCCTGAATATTGCGTCTCACTTTTCGGAAAGATTTTTCGGATGTTTTATTTTTTACAATATTGGTTAAAGTCATTAATAAATCGATTTATATATACATTTTTTGCGAGTTCTAATTTACGTAAATTGTAAATAGTTCACGTTTACTTTTAAGTTTGTATTAAAATGTTTTGTTTTATGGATAAATTTTGATGTTTTGTTTTATGGATATTTCATATTGATATTTGTCCTTGTTAATTTTATTTATTAACAATCTCTTAATATTCTCGCACTATCAACGGACGCGAATTTAAAATGAGTAAGAAGTAGTAATTAATTCGAAATATTGTTGACAAAGGGTAGGTCATTGTAAATTAATATTAAGAGTTAAGGCAAAAAACAAATATTGAAATCAGAGTGGTATGAAAATGATCTGGATATTTACATTTTCTCGTTTAGAGGACGAATAGAGGGAGAGAAGGCACTAAGGGTGGTACGTGATTGTGTGGACTAAATGAAGTTTCTGGGAAACATCACGATGTAGAATGATGTTTATAAGGTAATCGAAGAAAAAAGCGAAAAGTTTTACCGAACATCTGTGTAAATTAGTTACAAGTAAAGGTAAAAGTGTTCGAAGTTATTTTAGAACAACAAATGTCAGGCAATTATATGCAGCGTACATGGAACATAAGGCGTATTGAAAATATGGAAGTTTTTTTTAAACAGTAATAAATACTCGTAAATCAATCACTTAAAACAATACTGAATTACGGAATCTTGAGCCTGAAAAAAAAGAATTTATGTGTAAATACGTTCTTTATTTATTGATAAAGCGTATTTTTCAGAAAACTCACGTTGCTGTGAAATTTGGGTTGGTAAATGGGGTTAGTAAATTATTGAGAGCTTGCGTGTGATCTTGGGAGTCTCGGTAGCCTTCCTCACACCGTTCCGTATATAATTACAATTACTCTTTTCGTCTTTTACAACCACAGTGAGGTAGATCAAGTTCCTTAATGACAAAGATAGATTGAACTACGAAAACGCCGTTCGAAGTGCAGAACGGATGTGTAGCGTGCTCAAACGTGCTTCATTTTAGTGAAAAGTTCCTACTTATCGCGTGATGTAAAAAGATCTAGTTTCACGTTAGCAGGAAGCAAGTTCTGCGATCAGCGTCTTTAAAATAGAAAGCGAAGTATAATGTCTTGCGTGTTCCATTACCGTTGCTTTAAAGTTACCTAAATCTACAGAACAGTATCATTCTCGTGCACATGAGTTTGTAATAAGAAAGTTTCGGAAATTGCTCCTGACAAAACTATGTGTGATTTTTAATATTTTAACGCGATTTTCGTCGGTCTGCGAATGAGTACGAAACTTTCGTGTATTTATTTTTATTACAATGTTATGTATATTTTTAATTATTGTATTTAAAATATTTAAAAATCATGAATTTATGTTATATAGCAACGTAATTCACTGAGGTTAGCCCATTTTAATGGAAACAAAATGTTTAAGTCCCATCGATATCTATGGTCATTAACGACTTCATAGAAACAATATTTATTGTTAACGTCCTTCGAATTGTGTAAATTCAGTCTACAGAAAATGAAAATAACTTCGAGTGGAGATAATAAACGAGCAATATTTTATATGTATAGATGTCCGTTCGAAAGAGAATAAAATAAAAAGGAGAAACGTAACTATCATTAGTGTGTAGAAACTGAATAGCCGTAGAAATTAGTCTCGTCTCTAGCTACATTTTTCGTTTGTTTTCTGTCAATTCATGCGTTATAAAATCCTAAACGAATTACCTCGCCGAAAAAAATAAGCAGAAATTCTACATAAATATTCAGAAGCAATAAATTGTAAGCATGTTTCATTTAATGACAAATTTAATTTTTATTTCGTGGTGTGTTCGTTCTATATTTCTGCGAATAAAATGAGAGCTCTATTACGAAGGTATCCTCTAGAAATTAAAACAATAAATGCAAGAAAATTTCGTTTCAGCTGATCTGAGTTGAGGGAACTTACTTCAAGAAAGAAAAGGCAAGTGCTATTCCCCCAGGAGCGGGCCCTCACTTAACGTGGCCGGTGTTACCGCTCGGTGCCCGCCCAATACTTTCAAGCATAACGCCTCCGAGCCCGGATTTGCATACAGGGAGTGGCGTTCTATTACGGGAAGGAAATGGAAGCGGTTTGTTGATAAATATCGGAGGATTGTGAATAAAGAGAACCTGCGGAAGGGTGGGGCGGGGAGAAGGCGGTCTTTCGCAGGGGGCCTTGTCTTTCGTTGGGGTTATTACCCTTCTCCTGTCTTCGGTTTCCAATACGAGGTCGGCTGCCTTGTCTCGCCGGTGCCGCCGTCGTTGCTGTTCCTTTGTGGTTTTTTTTACGTATACGCGACCGAAAGCGTAATAAACCGCGGGAAGTAGAAGTGAGCACTTGTGCCCGCTAAAAATGAAACGTTTTGGGGGAGGTGGCGGAGGTACTTTTATAGGAAAACGTTTGTTGGTTGTGGAGACGGGCAAAGCTCCCGTGCCCATGATCCGCGCGTGTTTTTCCTCTTTTGAAGTATCGGTGACTTGCTTTCCTGTGGGTTCTTTTGGAAAGTGCATTATAATACTGTTGTGATAATGCTCTAGGAATAAAAAATCCGAATTATTGTTTTGTGAAAGGCAAAATTAATTTTATTTCCTTGTAACGTGAAAGTGAAACTTCTTTTTCTTTCTTTTTTTTTTTCTTTTCAAAGTAGATTAAGTTATAATTAGTCTTAATTCTAGATATTATTCATCATTTTTTGTTTTACAAATTAAGCCAATATTTTTATTTGGTATTTTCTTTTTTAGTCCCCTTTATGATGAATCTGTTCAACAGATATCAGAATATACATATCAGAATAGTGAACAGTTCACTGATAAGTTATTCACTGTTTTCAAATTTAATTATTTGGCAGCAAATCTAAATCCCAAGTTCGTAATCTCATCAACTAATTTTAAAATCATTGGTGCGTTTTTACTACAACGCGAAATGCTCTCACGAACTGTTTAGTATCTAATACCAGAGTTCAAACTCTGTGCGAGATACTGCAACGTAGTCCAGCCCTTGTTTTTAACGTTGGTGAACTTTTAACATTTTCAATAGGCGGCATGAAAGCGCACCTGGAAAGCGGTTTTACGTAAACCCGTGGTCAATTATTTCGCCTGAAAACCGCTGCTGTTGCTCTTGATGTTTTGTGCAGGTTCCACGTCGGAGCATTTGTCCTCCTGTGTTATTCAGCTGGGTTGACAAGCGAAATCTGGATTTAAACGTAAATTCAACTTTTTTCATCACGTCCAACATGTGATTTTTGCATCGTGACACGTGTCTGAGTATATTAGCTGGTTTCCAAAGCTCGTTAATGCACTGGAGGTAGCTTTTTGTAAGCAAATTCTTATTCGGAATAGAATACGCTCGTTATCTCCACAATTAACACTTCGGTTATTGAGCAATGAGTTTGTGTTTAATAAACAGTACAAATCGTTGGCAATGTTATTAATTATGATTCATGTTTTATGTGTGACAGATTTTTTTTCTTTGTTTAATTTGCAAATTTTCTTTGGATATATTTATTATACTTTTTTTTCACGTACAGTGTAAAATGAATCGTGAAAAGAATCAGCATGCATTTTGTTTGAATATCCAACGGTTCAGAATGGTCATTCATTCTGAAACCGAACTTAGTACGTTTTATTTTTACTGTTGTATTTGTTTTCTGAAAATTATTTGTGGAATCACACAATGTGTGTAATATTGTTAGGGTTTAAAACATTGAAATCAGAGGATGGTAGAATAATGAAGTTAAAACAAATGAACAGGTTTTACGTGAATTTTGAAAAACATTAAATAAGCTGCGACATAATTGAATATCAAAAATGAATCGCATCAGAAACTTTTGTTTCCATTTCGATCATTTTATTTATGTATTTATCACGTTTATTGTTTTTCTCAAACACCGTTCCTGCACATCGACGAATATTCACCCTATTTCTGTAGCTTACGTCATGAATAAAAAGAGTTATATGAGTACACTTGTCGATTTTATATTCTTCTCTTTATATCAAAGCGTAAACGAAATAGCCCATAACTCTATTCCGCCCTATCCTTAAAGTAACGTAGAATAGTGAATCAAAAGTTAACTTCTCGTCGTTGTCGAACCGAAGGCTCGACACGGAGTCGTACGTTATCTTTGTCTGTTGTACTGTTCCGCTTACCAGCGCCACTTCGTGGATATGAGAGAAGACGAAACAGCGTAACTCGACTACGGACGATTATTGCTCCTCGCGTTCACTCCTCCCCCCCCCCTCTCACTCCGAGGCCGACGCCTTACAATAAGCGGCGAAAGTTCTTGGAGCGAGCAAAAAGACCGAGTGAGGCGGAAACGGGACTTCGGTGAACACAACTCGATTAAGTTTCTTCCACAAGTTTCCCTCTCCGCCAACCTCCCCGTCTGGCACCACGTCTCCTACCCCCAGCCGCCAGCCCCATCCTCCCCCAACTCCGCCTCCCTGCCCACCTCCCAGCTGCAGTCACTCGTTCCAGTTCCAACCCCACCTCCCAGTCCGAGACCTGCCACCCAGACCCATTCCGCATCCCCATCCCCGCTTCTCTAATCCCAATCCCGCCTCCCAGCCCCCAGTTCCTGCCTCTCGTTCCAGTCCCAGCCCCAGCCCCGTCTTTCAATTCCATTCCCAGCCCTCCTCCCATTCCCCAGCCACCGCCTCTCAATTCCAGCCCTAGCGTTCCAGGCCACGGCAGACCGTCCTCCCAATCCCAACCCAGACCCCGCTTCCCAGTCCTCATCCCTGACCCGCCGCCCAGTCAGTCCCAACCAGCCTCTCACCTCCACGCTCCGCTACCAGGTCCACCTTCCAAAGCCACAGACCCACATTCCAAGCTCAAGTCCCCGCCTCCCAGCCGCAGTCCCCTCTCCCCCTGCACCCAATGGTGCCGTCCCAAGTTCCCACCCCCAACCCGTCCAACCCGCCTTGAAAATATTTAATTCAAATCCCAGAAACCACACAAACCCACCACAGAACCTTGTCCAGCACCGTCAACTTTGAGCCCACCAGCCCCGAAACCTTTCTAGCTATTGCATATCTCAAGCTCCGAGTCCATGCACCAGCCTCCTAAAACTTATCACACCAAGCCAGCCCTCGCTCGTTCAGCTCTGGCGCTCGAAGCCGTGTTCCCCGCCTTCCTCGCCCCCCCCCCACTCCCCCTGCGCTCCGTCTCCACCTTTTCTCCGCTTCCCTCTTCGTCTCGGACTTTCTGCGCGTCCGTCTCCGCGCCTTCACTGCGCGCCCCCTTTCCCACCTCTGCACCCGCGCCGTTACTCCCGCCGCCCCCGCGCCTCGACTCGCCCCGTCTCGTCGCTCCACGACCTTCCCGTGCCTCTCTGCGTTCACCATGCTCGTCCGTTCCCCCTCAGCGCCGTTTCGAGGTCACTGGTCGCGTTAGGAAGATTCTAGTGGCCGAAGGCATTGCACAGGCAGCCTCCCGCCTGATAGAGCAGCGGAGACTGGATTTGGCGAATGGAATTTTTGAGATTTGCTTTCACCTGCTGGGTGGGAGGCAGGACGTGGGAACGGTTATGTTACGATCGACACTCGTGTGTCTTCCCTGGGCAGACGATGGATTCCATAGGGTCTCTGAATAAGACGCATTGAATAAATGTTTTGTAGGATTTGGTAAATTTTAAAAACACACAGAAACTCCGAGAGATGTTTTAGTTAAATAGGTTAGGTAATACGCCTTTGTCATTGATTGTCCATAAAGTTCAACGTCAATTTTTTCAAACATCTAAGACAAGTGAATAATTAAACATCCTTTTTTTTTCTTTGGACTGGAACTTTCCCTTAGAGTTTTTTCTACCTCCGAACTATAAATGTATCTCTCTCATAACGGGAACCCGGGGTCGGGGGGGGGGTGCGCCCAGAAACGCAGCCGTGTCGGCCGGCTGGCAGAGCCATCTGGTGCCACCTCGCCGATACGCGGGAGCGCGGCGCGGTGGGGCCCTGAAAAAGACGGGCAGGGGGCAGAGGAAGAGGAGGAGGAGGGCTCTCTGTTATTGGAAACTGAAAGCGGATAAAAGCCAATAGCCCGTGAGAAGCCGGCAGGCCGCCTCTTGTTAACCCAAGTGCACCGGGTTCGCGGCGGCGACTCGTCTTCGAATGTTCTTTCCGGGCTCTTCCGGTGTGTGGTTTTGCTTTCGCGGTTTCGGGCTGAAAAGAATCTTACTTTACCTGTGAAGGTATTTTTTGGTTGATATTTTTCTGTATGCATACGGTCTTTGATAATTACTTGCCGCTTGCAAACAAGGGTCTACTTATATCCGTATGTATTATTGTTTTCGTGATTGGGAGTAAAAAGTGTGTGTATACGTAATTTTTCGTGTATTACAAAGATTTTGTGTGAAACGTTTCCGAAGCAGTTTTGACGTAAGTTCTTTCTAGTAATTTTTTTTCTGTTCCCGAAACTTATTGTTTATTATTTATCAAGAGTATAATTGCTTATTCTGACAGTAATTTTTACAATTAAGTGTCTTACTTGTATTTATTGTTTCTTTTATGTGGGTTACATTAGTGTAAACATACCAAGCTTTTGCGGGTGTTTGGGAAGTTTCAAAATATTTTTGTGTTTTTATTCAGAAAAGAAAACCTTTTCAGGTATTTTTATATCCCTTATCTAAGAACAAAAAGCCTGCTAGGCCTCTGCAATAATTTGCCACCCTCTCCCACCTACATCCAATACGTATTTTATTATCACTATATTCCCACACCTTTCATTCCCTCTTTCAGTCTACGCCATTATTTTTCTCTCCGATCCTCGCTCTCTCGTTCTTTCTCTTTCTCTCTCTCTCCGTCTGTGCGCACTGCACCGCGGAGGACAGCGCGTCTCTCCCGCATTGCTGCGCGGCACCCTTCTGTCTCTTGTCTTAATCTATTCGGAATGTCACTCAAGATGGACACGTCTGGTTAACCGTTGAATATTCGAAATTTGTTATTGCATCTGTGTGCCATTCAAATGTTGAACTGCGAGGCCGTTTGGAAGTCATAACGTTTTTCTATGGCGGCGTTTCCATTCTCGTGGACCGCCTTTCCGACTCTCGAGATGAGCGGCTGAGAGGAAGAGTGGAATACCCTAAGTCCCTAAAATCCATAGTTGGACTTATTCCATATTTGGATAGTACTGAGTGACGCAACAGGCGGGAAAATGTTGTCCAGTTAAATTAAGGGTAAATGATTTATACCACTCTACCTCTCAGCATCTCATGTATTGGAGCAAATTAAATAATTTATTCATGAAGGCTCATTAGTTCAGCATGTGGATTCAACATTTCGTCTAGTGCGTTTGGGAATTGGAACTACTCGGCAATCCGTTTGAAATACTGTCAGATTACCGAAGTGAGATATGTAAAATATTTAGAGAAGCTTCGTCAAATAAATGCGTTTGCTTTCGCAGTCTGAATCGTTACTCTTTGTTATGCTTGCGACATTGCATTATAAGTTGGTTGGTCACGTGATTCTACTATCCAACCTACGGTGCACCTGCGACTGCATAGCCAAGAACTAAAACGTTGAAAGGTTATTACCAGAAACCTAGTAGTTCTACAGAACATACCTTTCGTTACTCCTCCGGGCACTTTTTAAGTTTTGTAGATACGAAGATGTTTAGACTGTATGGCGATTCAATCGACATGCTGTAGTAGGCATTAATCTTGGATGTTGCAATACGGTGATCGAAACGTTGGCAATACTGACTTGACTTCATCTTCGATCTTCGAGACGTCGCATTGCAAACAGTGTTGTGTTGATGGTCGAAGTATGACTCCCGGAACATCGGATACGTGACAGAGAACGCCGTCTTTTCTACAACCTAGAGTTCATATTTTGATCTTTGACTTCATCTCTGTTGAAAGCAGAATTCCAACGTTTCGGCCTCTAGATGGATTTATGCGTTTGCCTTCAAAGTCGCAAAGTACGGCGGCCGAAATGTTGACAAAACTGCCTAGGAGGTGGTGACAATTCCATTGGCCCCGACTGTAGAAGCTTTCACGCACCAGAGACGATGTTCCCTTCGTGTCCATCTTGGGCGTCTGGCCCTCTATGCCTTCATCTTTTCCGTAGAGTCCTAAGATACAGAGTGTAGCGCAACAGCCGCCATTTAATTAATATCCTCCCTGCTGATCAGGCAGCATTCAGAAATAAGTATTCAAGGCGTAACGGAGAATTTAAAAAAACACACAC